CCCCCGCCTCACAGGCCGGGGCAGGAGGTGAGGGCGGGCGGTGTTCTCGGGAGCGAAGCGGCGCTTTCTGGTGCCTGGGGTTGCCCCCTTGCCGTGAGGAGAACACAGTGCGGCCTCCGGTGCCTCCTCTGCTTCACCCGTCCCCGGTACGGGCGGCGGGAGCAGTTGGGATTTTGCGGGCTCGAGGGACAGAGCATCGTTTCCCAAAGGCAGCGGTTTCGGGCTGAGAGCACAGGGAGTTTGCGGGGCTGACGCTCCTTGTTTCTGAGCTGGCATAGTTCCTTTCCTTACGCCTCCCTGCCCGTACCGTTGCGTCTTGGGTACCGTGGCGTGCAGCGAGGGCTGTGGGAGTACGTTTGTGCAGAAGTCTGCAATTCTTCTCGGCTTAATCCTTCCCCACCTCTGTAATTTATTTTTTTTTATTAGCTCGGTGAATGGACTGCTGCCATGGAGACATCAAACATAGCTCAAAATAGCTAATAAGACAGAACTGGAAAGGAGAGTATTTTGGCCAGTACAAAAGAGGGGAAGAGAAAAAGCAATTTTAGCCACTGACGTATGAGATGCAACCAGGAGAGGGGGAAGCCACAACAGGAGAGATGAGGGGCTGCAGCCATTAAGTTATTAAGGCCGACTGATGCTTTGTGATGTGGAAAATGTATGGGCCAGGTCAGGAAGCACATTCTCCTCTTCCCCCTTATGTCATTTTATTCTTCGAAAAGTCCTCCAGGCAGTTATAATGGCATGCAAAATACAGAGCTTTTGTTGTTTTTTTTTTTTAAACAGTAAAACAAAGGAAACGGGGGGCACAAAGGTATTGTTTGCATTATGTCTTGAAGATCAAAAAGGCTTGTGCTGCAGAGAAATGGCTGATGTCGTTTTTATCGGTGAGGATCCTCCTCTGCACCCATCACACTGGCCTCCCAGTGCAGGTGAGAGGCAATAAGGACTGGATTCTCTAATTAATAGTATTTGTAATAGGTTGTCGTGAGGAAATGGGGCCTGACTATCCCAGCAAATGTCTAACGTTTTAGGTAGCCTTCACTGCTCTATCTATCCTTACAGTATTCCGTTGTTATTTTACAAATAGTGTGTTGAAAAAGGTTAATGTGGATTATAACTGCTGCCTAGACTGGAATAACTATCCTGCCTCACTGCTTTAACATAAAACGATATTGGCAGTTGTGATGCCCATTTATAACTCTCAAATCTTTTACATAAACTTCAGTACTGGGAATAGTTCCTGAACTGACTACTAATCCCTCAATAGAGTTAACTAAATGCAGCAGAGGATAAATTTTACTCCATGGGGAAAAATAAGTTGTGATTATATACTTACAAAAGAGATCATGCCAGCATACAGTTCAAGTTTTTGAGGCACCATTGTCCCACAATCCACCAAGAACAGTTACAGGAGACTGCTGGGAAGAACATCTTAGGGGAACTGGAGATTAAAATAATTTTTAATTATCTGGTATTCCTTTCTACCATTTAGGTGCTTTCATGTCCTCTAAGCACTTCCTCTCCAATGAAAATAAAATATAAGACCTTCCAAGTGGTAATCTAGATGGTTTAATGAGTAAAAACATTTTATAAGTATTTTCTTCTGGGTTTACTGCCATTCTTTATGTAGTGGTTTTTTCCTCTTCAGCTTGCCTTTTAAAATTTCTTAAATACATTTCTTTTTTTGTTGTTGTTGCTGTGTACCTCTTGGGCTGGATCCCTTTTCTCCTTGTGCTTCCTTTTTAAGTTTCCTTCTCCCTTAACCTTTCTTTCCTTGTGTGTAGTTTTTTCTCACCTAGATTAGGATGAAGTTTTTGCCTTATGTAATGTGAACATAGTATCCGTATAGATGCAGAGGAACAACTGCAGCTCAGTGTTAGCAGGTCATAGAAAGCACAGGCTTTTTTGCTAATCCTTAGATTGTGGCGTGTGCCACAAACACCGTGGCAGCCTGTTTTCTGGTGAATCTCTGTCCTTCTCTGTTATCCACTAGCACTCTCAATCCAGAGCCCGGTGAAGCTGGAGGACATCCTTCTCACTTTCTGCCTGTTGCTGCCAAAACTTGTCATCCATAGTACGACAGGAGGAATTTCTGCTGTTTCCACTGGCAAGGGTGACAGTAGGATTTTTTTCTTTGTTCCCTATCACAGGTGGACATAATACCACTGTGCAGCGTTTAGTGATTTGTGGGTTCCTCTTTTTAAACTTAACAACTATCACCTCTTGATCATGGATTGTTTCTTTGTTTAAGGGCTGGTGACGCACTCCCTCAGTACCACATAACATAAATGCAAGAGGCAGAAACAGAAAAGCAGGCAAGCTCTTCAGTTAAACAGAAGATGGCCGTGCTGGCCTTCCTGGTGCTCAGGACGTGGAGGTATGGAAGTGTTATAGCCACAGGCCGAGAACCTGGGCTCAGCTTCCAGTGAATGCTGTGAAGCATGGGTTAAGTTGGGAGATCCTCCTGCTTTGTAATTCTTCTGAGCACTGTTTGCACAGGGAGAAGTAACAGGCGCGCTCACCTGTTCAGAGCTATTTCAGTCATTTTTCCCCGAGGTGCAGGGGAGGGTTGACACAATGCAAGGACAATCCCCCAGGTCGGCATACCCTTGAAGCACAGACCACTGCTACACATGTATGACTGCTGGCAATTTGTTCCTTACCTGGAAGAAAAGCATGAAGGCAGATTGTGGCAAGAGTGACTTGCCAGTTAGTGTGCCCTTAGCATGCAGGGTTTTCCTTGAGTAACATCCTGTGCCCAGCTTGGGTGGCACATGTCTTCAGCTGGCCCAGCTTTCAAGGTCTGTTTCTTTCTTGGTTTTTGCTCTCGTTGTCCTCTTGCATGTGGTTTATTTTACGTTCCTTCCTTCAAGCTTTTCACATTGTCCACTTTCTGTCTCCTCCCTTCTCAGGAAGCTGTTCACTGCCACTGTTATTCTGTTCTCTTTACAAACTGTCATTCTCCATCTGAGGAACCTGCTGTTCCTAGCAGTCCTTCCTTCTGCTGTTAAAAGCAGCCTCCCCCCCCCCCACCTCACAAAGGAAGTATCTCCGCTTCCTGTATAACGTAGTAGCATCTGAGATAATATCAGTGGGTAATTATCCATCTTGTAAATACCTCAATGTACGCCAGAGAAAAAAGAAGGCCATATCCCCTCTAGGAGATACTTCTCAACCATCCAGCAGCCCTTTATCAATTTAGGCTCCTCTCAGAAAACTGGTTTATTATGCACAATTGCAAAGCAAACTTTGAGAAGAGAGATAAAAGCACGTTGGGAAGAAGAACATGACACGTTCCTTGTCAGTGTTGCACTAGCACTGCTGTAAACTGCCCTGTAGTTATTCACACAGCATTTGCATTTTAAGTCCTCACTTAAAACTGTATTTGAATAGCGAACATGAGCAGAAGCGGTGCTGATACTTTTTTAATCATGGTAAATGCTTCTTTCTGTAACAGCAGGCATTCTGTACCTCTGTGATCTAGGCTATGTAGTCACTCTTAAAATAAATTCTGACTATGAAATAGAATAGGGGACACAAGCTAAGGATTGGCTAAGAATAATTTGTTACGTAATTAGTACAATGATAAGAATAAATCAAAACCTGTATTCTGTCAAGCATGGTAGGCATAGGGATTCTTCTCATGTGTTTCCTTTCCAACCTACTGGTTTCAACTGCTTGTATCTTTCAGAATTTTTCAGATTTTTCGTTTGTTTGAAAGCAGCTTTTATTTCTAGAAAGTCTGATGGTGAGAGAGGAGTTCTTTTGATCAGACTGCATTTACAATAGCGACAGCACTTCAGAAAATAAAATGGATAGCTCAAAGACCTGTACTGATTTTGGAGAAAGTCCTTGCTAAATCGGAGATGCAAAAAAAAGATCTGGCAAGTCAAACTGTATTTTTTAGGTGGTAACAGGCTTCAGAATATGAGGATGTAGAACCCTTTCATCAGAATTGCTTTTAGTGAGAAATCCTTTCTTCTGTCATCGTCCCCTTCAAGGTAAAAGATAATGTTCTTGGTGGAAGCATTTAAAAAGGCAGACTTCAAAGTACTGCATATGAGTCATATATAATTCTTTCACAGTTACTGAATAGTAACTCCTGGATATTGTATCTAAAATAGTAATTTTGAAAGTTGTGCTGTGGTGTTGACCAGGTATTCCATTTTATTTTCTGCTTCATTTTACTGCCCTTCGGAGCATATACTGACTCAGTTACCTAGGGTAGTGTGGAGAAAATTGAAAAATAATTGTTCAAGAATCAAGAGATAATGGCTATCAGCTACTTAACAGTGGCTTGTCATACATCTAAAGTTGCCATTTTCATTTATTTCTTCAAGTTTTTATTCTACATCTATTAACTTGTGGCCCCTTACATCTATTCTCCATTTTATTGATGAGTTTCTCATTTTTATAAATGTAAAATCACTTGGTTTTTAATTTGTACTTCAAAATTAAATTCATTTATCTTGAAGCCCTCAGAACTGGTGTTTCCTGTGGAAAAATAGTACTTCTTTCTTTCTGGATTAAATTGGGATAGCAAGCATCTGTCAAGTCGCTTCGCAGAATTTTCATTGTTTTGTAGGGGGAGAGTTTAAAACAAGTAAATCCTTTGAAAATTTGGACTTTATAATTACTTCCTTAACTTTGAGAACTGGATTATTCAGATATGATCTGATTATTCAGATAGTAACTTGCTATCTTCTTCCCGTTACAGAGTATTCTCTATGCAGCAGATCCTAATTGGTGAAGCCAATTTAACAGGAAGCATGGTTGCACTTTTCTTGTTGACTTGTCATACCCTTGCAAGAATCACTAAAATTTATTTCTTAGAGCTGGTGAGTTCACTGCTGCTAGTAACATTTCAACTTATTTTCTTGGAGGGAGCTGCCCAGAAAAGCTGCTGTAGTAAATCTTCTAACATCATCACCTTGTGAACATGGCTTTTTCATTCTCTTGAACTAGCCTAGATGGGAGGACAACAGCAGGTGACACCATGTACCAAACGGTGGCACCAACAGCTGAGTAGGTGGCATGCTGCTGGCAAGGACAGCTCACCCTAAGACTGGTACTCATACTTTGAGATTCTGGGTTGATGCAAGAGCTGTCAGAAACCCAGTGTGTTTACAAGCTTTTGTGCAGCTGCTTGGAGAGTGTTACTGTAAGCTGAGAAATCTGATTGTATTCTGAATTCAGGCATGGTGATATATTACAGGAAAATTGCTCTGTCTAGGGAAGATTAATAGTTAGGCTGCTTCTTTTTGTATGGTCTTGCACAAATTCTCAACATAGAAATTGGGGATCAGCACAGATTTTTTTTTTTTTTCCCTCACGTGTAACAATTCTTACAATCTTGCGATGTTGTCACCTATGGATGAAACCTTGGAATGCCGTTTTAGTAATAAAAATAGCAATACTAAGTCTTTATGGTGTCTCCTTGTCTTCACTTAAATGTTATTATTCATTCCAGAAAGTCAAAACACTGTTGTTAAAATCCTTTCAGTGTCTTTTTTAAGAATCGGTGTTTGATGGAGACTGTGTTCACCACAATGCAATAGAATTAGTAATCTCATTCCACAATTTCTGCACGTTTTCCAAAATAGAGCTTTTTAGGCTTGGTTTTGGGTTTGCAGCTTTATTTCAATTTCTTTTGTTCCCCAATCTTACTGCTCTTGGACTACACTAATTCAATGTTTCCCTCTTAGCATACTAAGAAATGTGTAAAATATTGAGGGCCCTCCTACTAGGAGTAACAGCCAGATCTCATTTCAGCCTCTGCAAGTTAGCAGACAATTGAAGAGTTTTTTCCTCTGAAGGATCTATCTTCTGGGCACTCTTACACCCATGTATTTAAGCTATTAAAGAAGAAAAGCTATGTTAAAACAAGTTAAAACAAAGGAATCTTCAGATTCCCATCGGAAAGTCATCTACATGTCAGAGAACTAAGGGAAAATATTATTTGTGCAGTGGGCCACCTAATATACTGCAAATACAGAGTATATCTTTAAGTCATCGCAGGAACAAGTCAAATGAGAATCCTAAGTCTCTTTTTTTTGTGAATTTATGCATAATTACAAAAAAAATTCTGCCACCTTTAATGTCACACAGAAAAAACCTCCAACCCTTGCAGCAAAGGATTTAATTTACAAGATTTTAACTGCTTGCTATGTTAAAGCAATTAGCTAAGAAACACAGAATGGAGATGGGAATGGCAAGATGGCAATATTGAAGTTTATTTGAATAAAAATACAGGATTTTGATTAATTGAGCAACTGTTGGAAGCCAAGTTTACCATTTCTGTGACTTGTCAAATAAATTATGGTCATTGTCCTGGTCTATTAAAAACTGGGCTATGCTTAATCTGGATTCCAATATCCACTGCTAGTGAACAACATTGATTATGCCCCTTGTTACAAGTTTCAGAAAACAAAAATAGGAATTCTGAGGGCTGTGTCGAGTCCCCGTACCCATTGCCAATAACCTAGCGAGCCAGTTCTCCAGCTACAATATTCATATTTTCAGAGCTTTGCTAGTATTTTTTCACAACACATTGTTTACTGTCTTAATTCTAGCTTTTTCTTCTGATCCCCGGTCTTCTGTTGTAGCTTCTTATATTGTGCCCTGAGGTCTGTGGCCTTTACCCCCTACTGAGATTACAGGAAAAATAAACAAGGGGTCAGAAAAAGATGTTAAGGATGGGAAAAACAAAACAAAAAAAGATGTGTTAGTAAACCCAAGGGGGAAAAAAAAAATCAGAATACTTGGTATTTTACTGGGTTTGGAGAGATTAGGATTGTCTTGGACGTTAGGAAAAGGTTCTTCAATGAGAGGGCGATCAGTCACTGGAACACACTCCCCAGGGAAGTGGTCACGGCCCCAAGCCTGCCAGAGTTCAAGGAGCGTCTGGATGACGCTCTTAGTCATATGGTTTAGTTTTAGGTAGTCCTGCGAGGAGCAGGGAGTTAGACTCCTTATGGGTCCCTTCCAACTTGAGATACTCTACGATTCTTATCTTTGACAACAGAAAACGCTCCAACTAGGGGTAGCAGTACAGAGAATTGAATTACAGAACC